CTAAATGGGTTTCGATAACACCCAATCTCTTTATTAGTTCATCAGTAATATATTTATCTAAGAACATAGAATCTTTTGGTATATCATTTAGCATTTCCAAACGCTTAGCAAGTACATACAACTTGTCTAAAGCCTCATTACTCTGGGAGTGTACTTGAGCTGGTTGAACTAATTACGGCTATTTGGGAATTTAACTTTTCAATCTCAGCTGAAGAATCAAATCATTCTGAGAACTTTGGCCTCCATTTAAATTTGGAGCACGCTCCAGCCACATATCTTTTAGATTTATAAAAAATGCATTAATATTAGCAGGAGCGATAGTATGCATCTATGTATAAAGATTGCCTGATAAGTGATTCTTAAGAAATCCTATAATTTGTGCATTATTATCTGTTATACCTAATAATAGAGGTCAGATTCTTTTTTCATAAGTATCAGGTGAGTCTGTAGAAATTTTCTTGAGTTATCTTTGAAATGCTGACTGTCAACTATCTAATGTTTCTTGTTGATAATGTGATCTCATCCAAGCATGTAAAGTAGCTAAAGATTAATATTAACGTTTCTATTATATGGATCTTGGGCAGGAACTGGTAAATATTTTCCTCTCATCTGAGCTTTAAAAATATCATATTTAATAGCATCATCAAAATCTCCAGCATTTGCATTTTCAAGAACAGTCATATGACCTTGTGCAAATGATATTGATTGAATAAGTCTATCTAAATAATCATCAGGAGGTTTTTGGCCTATATAGGGCTTAGTTTTTGCAAGAATCAATGCAATTATAGTTAATACTGGTTAAAGATGGGAACTGTAATTAATATGTTGCAACTTTTAATGTTGCAACTTACGTTGCAATTAGTTTTAATCTATATATGTTACAACTAATTTTAGCTTATGTTGCTTTATGTTGCAACATTTTGTAAATTTAAAATCAATTGCTGTACCATCTTTAATACTGGTAAACGTCTAGCATTTGCTATATTTCCTAATGGGTTATTCTGAAGCGCTAAAATTTGTTTTTGCAAATTTAAAATATTCTGGTCTCTTTGTCTAATCACTAGCTGGAAAACAAACTTTTTACATAGCAATTCGCCAATTCAGGTTTATTTTCTCGCTATAATGACTAACATTCTATTTACTAGTTTTGAGCATTAGTTAGCAATTGTCAGATATTTTGTTGAAGGTGGTTGACGTTTTACTTATACAATAGCTGTTTAGCAAATTTTTCTCGTAATAATTCTTGAATACGTCTATTTTTATCCCAATATGAAAAATGCCAGCGATGAGATTCTTATCTCTTATTATGATAGGCTAGTACAGCCAAGTTCCGTTCTTCTTGAGCATTATCTCTTTCTCTTATAACTGCATCTCTTTCTCTCACATTTCTTTCAACCTGAACTCGAGATTCATCTAATAAATGTTGTAATCATAAATTCTAATTTTCACTATCAGTAAACTAATTCCTAAGATTATCTACTCATTGAATTAAATCATGTATTAAGTTCTGATATTGATCACGCTCAGCTGTGATATTTGTAAAGAAACCCGAATAGTATTTAATAAGCCTCTAATATTATCTATAACATTAGTGGGATTCTGCATAGGTATGCCAGCCCTCTAATGTGATTCTCAATTCAATCTAATCCTCTATTAATATTTGCAATAAGATTAGCTGTTGCCATATCTAAAGCATTTATTGAGATTTTTTTATCTATGAGAATCTGGATCCTTGCTTTAAGACTCTCAACCTTATTTTTGAGCTCTATAATTTGACCATCTTGAATAAACCCAACCTCATCTTTGAATTTTTTATTCTGTTGTAAAACCCTAAGCTGTTTTCGCAAATCAGATATTTCTGATTTAAGTTTCTCTACCTCTTTTTCATGGACTATGATAGTATTATCCTGTAATGAGATAGTTTAATAACATTGCTCTAGCTCTTTCACAAGAGAACAAATTTTTTCTTGTTACTCTTATTAATAGAAACTTCATCTCAAAGCTCACTATGAAACTCATGGTTCATATCTAAAAGTTGTGAATATGCCAGATCAAACCTGCTATTATTCAACCCTGATTTATAGTACTATCATAATAATCACTCCTTTTCTTTGCTAGTTATTTAGAAAAGTCGAAGTATACAAAATTTTAGTCATATGATTTGGGCAAACCAAGTTCGCTAAAATTTCTTGGCATTTCTTAGCATTTTTTTCTTTTACTTCTGAGATAGGTATTTCTTTTTTCGAGTTTATGAGAAAAAGGAAGCAGAATAAGTCAACCCTAAATTGTAATAGATCCATATAATGAGATTGTTCTTATCTAAAGATGAGAACTGTAATTAATATGTTGCAACTTTTAATGTTGCAACTTACATTGCAATTAGTTTTAACCTATATATGTTGCAACTAATTTTAGCTTATGTTGCAACATTTTGTAAATTTGAAATCAATTGCTGTATTATCTTTATTCTTGTCTGTAGGCTTCTATATTATAATATACCAGGTTTTCACACAAATGTGAAAAAATTACATAAAGCATGTCAAGAGGAAGGATATTCTTTTTGAATACAGGATATTACAAAATGGTTAAAACAATATAACTACCAAATCTATCGACAGCCATTACCTTGTAAAGCTGAGGTGAGTTTTTCAAAGATTAGGATTTCAAATAAAGTCTATCAATATGATATATTGCTCCATACTCATGATCAAGATGATAAATAGGTATTTGTTTGTACTCTCCTAGTTATTGATGTGGTAACATGCTTTAAGGAAAGACGCTCACTAATATCAAGAATTAGCTTAGAAATCTGGATTGTGATTAAAGATATCTATGAGGATCCTTCTAACCTCTTACATGGCCAAAATTATTAATGACTGATGGTGATGCTTCATTCTAAAATGCATTTTCATGAGAAATGCAATAGTATAATGTTCCAATACGTGTTATTAATCTTTATAGTTTTGAGAGCTTAGCTTTCATTAAAGCGTTTAAGAAAACAATGGTAATATTAATATATAAGTCCAATATGCTATAGAGGAATGATTAACTGATGGGAAGCGATCAAGGATATTTAAGAGAATCCTTAAGAAGTATATTAATTATCTGAATAATAATAAGACTTACCTTATTGGGATGTCACCAACTTATGCTATGACTTTAGAAGAAGTTGAATCAAAGCCTTCTAAAAAACCTAAGCATGTAATCAGAAAAGATGAGGAAATAAAATTACAAAAAGGTACAGCAATTAGATATTTATTAAAAGCAGGCAAATTAAAAGGAGACTATAGACGTAGAGCAACCGATTCGTATTGGAGCTTGCGTGTCTTCAAGATTAAAAGAGTTATTATTGGAAGAAATCCACCACAACCAGTCTTATATTATCTCAAGAATAAACCTATTGAATCTACTGTTTATTTGATAGGACAGAACCCTAAAAGACCCTTTAAATATGAGGAACTTCAAGTAATTGAAGAACCTGATAAGATTGAGTATCTATTCAATAAATTTATGCGAAAATATTATCATACTGGATTTATTCACTTCTCTCAAATTACTGATAACATGCTAATAAAAGCACATGAATATGCCTCTCGGTGTGATGGTCAATATCTTGAAAAGACTAGACAAATAAATGGTTATAATGTATATCTTTGGTCTTGCGAAAATGATGCACATCAATGGGAGTATCCATTAAAGTATATTATGAAAAAATTCGAATGGTGTCCTCTTTATTATCATAGAAGCGGTAAACGCCAATGCTGATATATTTTCGAGAATTTGTTAGGCAAAAAATTTCTATCATGCAGGCTGAATTTTTTATATGAAATGCAACTTGATGGATATAATAAAGAGTTGTGACTAGGATTCAAATTTCATGGCAGGCAATACTATAGTCTTAATTCAATGTTTCATAGGAGAGGTCAGATAGATTTGGATGAACAGAAAATGCATGATTAGAAGAAGTGAAATATATGTAAGGAACAAGGTATATGCCTTATTAAAGTGCTCCATTCATTCCCTATATTAAGCATACACTTATTAAGAAAGGATTCTTGAGTAATTCTTCAAGTTAGGTTGAGATAATTATTTGGTTCCTTTAGGACCTTTTTTTCTAAGACCGCAATTTGCAAGATTTTTTTAGTATATCATTAGTAATAGATAGTTCGACATGAAAATAAAAAAGCTTGAGCTGACTGAAAGACTTATATACCATATTGATGAGATTAAAGACGCTTAAAAATATAATAGCAATTCCAGTATTCTCTAATGGCCTTTCATTTTAGGCATCTTTGGCCGTACTAATTTAGGAAAAAGTAATGAGGTTCTTAATCTCATGCTCAGAACTAAGCTTTATCGAATGTTTAATGGGAAGAAGAAAGGGACACGCTATATCAAGAATGATGATTTACTACTCATCAGCTACTAACTCAATAAGCTGAAATATATGTATCTCAAAACGGCATTCCAAATAATTGCTACTAATCTAAAGCCATATCGTGAAAATATTACATTTCGGGCTTTGAAGCCTGATAAGATCCCTAAGATAAATTCATTTTCTCTGAACAGAAGTACAGTAGCTATATTTAAGGATATATATGCTGATCCAAAAAAAGTGCAGGAGAAAATTGTCCCTTATTTTCTTGAGGGATGCTATTATAACATCAGTTCGATATATGTATCCCAGAGTTACTTTAACTGCCCAAAAATAATACGAAAAAATCTCACACATATCTACCTATTCAATGGGTCATGCACTATAGATGAACTAGTCCAAATTATGCACCAATATGCTAATGACTAGCATAGTGTGATTAAGATTATTAACAAGGCTTTATGTGAATATAAATTCATTGTTTTCAATCTAACTGTACCTCGTGAATATCCACATAGGATACGCATAGGCTGGGATGTACCTCTTATTAATAAGTAGAATTTTCTTAGATACTAAGAACAAAATGTATATTTTTTCCTGATTTCTAGATCATGTTCAGATTCACTATGCCTCTTTGCCTATAATTTCCTTTCATGAGTGCTAGAATATATTTCTGGTTCTATAGTCATATCATTATGCTTCATTTTGGAATAGGTCTGATCAACAAGAGCGATAATTTTTCTATTTTTAACAGAAATAATATCCTCTAGATTCTGGCATCTATTCTCTAACAGGTCAATGGACTTTTCAGCTAATGTAATAGCTTTTTTCGTATCAGGAATTATACTTTTGAAGAAAGCTATTGAATCTGATAATTAGGTGACTTTCCCGCTACTCTCTTCCAAAGATCTGATCATAAGACTTATACCGCTCTTACAAATTGAGAAGCTTTTCAATCTTTTTTTCCAATACCTGCTTTGATATATGCAACTCCTCATTTTCTTTTCTTAATAAATTTTCACAGTCACTGTAATAGACTTCATCCTTTGATATTCTTTTTTCTTAATATATTTTTCAACTGCCTGATTTAACATATCTTTCACTTCAGGGTGAATACAAATACCACTTGCCTGTTCTAGCGATAATGAGTATTTTTGAAATGTAAGGCGTCACCATATATCTATTTTGATAAAACAAGGGAGTTGGTTAAGTTGCTTTGAATAATATACGTGAAAAGATAGTATAAGTATGCCAGTAATTTCTTATATATAATAAAAAATTCCAAGAATTTAGAATTCTACACATTCAGGTATTCAATGAATTCTGAGAAATTTACATGCCAATATCATGAATTACGTCACATCTGGTAGAATATATATGTGAATATATATTTGTGAAATTAAACACTAGGATCAGTTTTATTATAATACAAATAACTAGGGAACGGAAACTGTTGTGAATCCAGAGCTCTTTTATATGAACCACATAATTATTTTGAAATTTTTTATAAAAATTTACTAATAGATAATTTTTTTATTAAATTATAACGGTTAATATACATAGATATAGATCATTGATGGGAAAATAGAATAAAAGATTAACTCAATTTTAGTATATAGATTAATTAAACTTTGTTATATTTTATATTTCTTATATAAATAAAGTTTCATTTTTATTGAATTAAATATAAATTTTTTAAGTTAATATTTAAATAAATAAAGAATCAAATAGTTTAAATTTAATTAAGAACGGTTCTTATAAAAGTAAAAGCAAATATCTGGGTTTGATCCAGCATAATAATATTATAAATCACATATAAAGAAAAGATTGGTTACCATAAAAGTAATTCGAAAGTGTTCAAGAAACATGGTTGGCAAAATTAATGTTAAATAGCAAAAGAGGCAAAGAGTTTGTGACATAAATTGTTAGTTTCAAAGCCTGATAAAAAAATATAATTAATTACATCTACAAAATGAATAATAAATCTGTTAGCAAAGACGCACTTCGAAAATGCAAAGAGAAAAAAATGGAGACAATTGAGGAATGAAAAACACGACTTAATAAGGATCGGAAAAAAAAACAAAAGGGAAACCCTATTGCCAAGATCGTTGCTGTATATACCAGAGGTAGCGAGGCTAAAAATGCTGATTCTGATTTAGTATTACCCTTGAAATTAGATCTGCAAAATTGATCTACAGATGATCTACAGTTAATCAAATTAGTATTACAAAATCGATC